TTGGTAATAAGTCTTTCCTTTGAAAATAATATTTAGCTGTTTTGTTGTTTTCGTTGTTGTAGTTTTTGGCTTTGTTGTTTTACTCTTCAATCGTACAGACCAGAATTCCACTGACATTTAATGATTTAAATTATTGACATTGTCTGCCCCTAGATCATTGGCAGGGTGGCAGTTGTGTCTCATGTGCCTCAGTAGGTGGCAGAGAAGAGAGAGGCTATGTGTAAACTCAGTGTTGTGGTCTGAGAACATCTGAACAATGAAGAGTATAACACAGGACTGAGGGAGTTGAAGGGGATCTCAACCCCATAGGAAGAACAAGAATACTAATCAACCACAATACCCCACACACACACACACACAAACAGTGCTCCCAGGGACTAAAGCACCAACCAAAAATACACATGGAAGGACTCATGACTCCAGCCTCATATGTAGCAGAAGATGCTTTTGTGGGATATCAATAGGATTGGCCTTTGGTCCTTTGAAGGCTCCATGCCCCAGTGTAGGGGAGTTCCAGGAAGGGTAGGCTGGCGTGGGTGGGAAAGTGGGAAAACCCTCATAGAAGCAGAGGAAGGACAGATAGTATATCGGGATTTTGTGGTGGGTGGGAAAACTGGAATGGGGATAATATTTGAAATGTAAATTAAGAAATTGTCTAAGAGGGAAAAAAAGAATCTAAAGCACCCTGTTAAAAGCAATCCTGAAATGACCTTGTTCTGTGTAGGGCTAGATTGGAATCAGTGGTGGGAAGCAAGCTGCAGACAAGAAACCCTGCCTGTTACAATGGACTGTGGTTAGAAATGAGCCTTAGACAGAAATCTTCCGAATGGGGCAACAGAGGCAGGTGCAGGCAAGGAGAAATCGGGAGACAACCATCAGTCAATCCAGAGCCAGGCAGCCCAGGCAGAGTTCTAGACTGAGATGCTCATTAGTCTGGCTGAAGGTCCAGCAAAGACTGAAAAGGGGCCCCAGCTGAAGAGGAGGACCAGAGAGCTGACACTATTACTGTGGCTATAGAGTGCTCAGAAAAAGGGGTCTATCATGACTGCCCTCTGAAAGACCAAACAAGCACCCGGAAGTCTCAGTTGCAGATTTTACACTCAACCAGTGACCAGAAGCTGCTGACCCCTGTAGTTGACTTAGTGAAAAGATGGAAGAAGCTGAGGAGTAGGGTAACCTTGTAGGAGGACCAGCAGTCACAAATAACCTGGAACCAGAGATCTCTCAGACACTGTACCACCAATCGGCCAGTATAAACATGCTGATGTGAGGCCCCCAACACATATACAGAATGTGGACTTCCAGGTGTATAAGATTTTCACAATAGTGATTTAAACGCTAGTACTGAATTCTAGGATCATGATCACCAAAAACTAAGACTGGCCCCATGAGTCAGGAAACAGATCATTACCTGGGTACATTTAAATCAATTTAAACAGAGAGATGACCCACTCATCCCTACCCAACTTCATCTGCATTCCGGTCTCTTCATAATATGATTCCAGTAAAGTGTCCTCCTGTCTTCTTATCTGCCAGTTAAGTTCTGCTTGTGATGTACTTAACACTGCAGTGTACAATCCCACACTATGGCTGTCATTACTGTTTTCTTTACATATATATATACTATATATATATATATATATATACATTATATATATATATATATTCATATAATTTATTTTTTCTCAGATTATAATTCATCCACACAGGGGTTATAAACACAGAAAGGCAAGATGTGGGGAAGGGAATGACACTGGAGTTTGGGTGTTCAGGGGGAATACAGATATCTTTAGAACTGGGTATCGGCTGGATGAAGGTTCAGGGGACAAGTCACTCTGACTCTGCCTATGACTCAATTGACCTTATCTAAGTTGGTATTGTCTGCCATGGCTACCTATTTACAAGGTCTGTGACTACTCAGGCTTGTAGATTTCCACAAAAGCTGCCTCTTTACATTAGCTTATAGCCATCTGTTTCAATGTTTTGCCACTGAGACCCAAGACTTGGTGTTAGTATACATGTATGACAGGCCTATTGCTGATTTTAGGCCTATGGTTGATTTTAGGCCTTCAGTGTGTAAGCAGGGCTGCCCCTGACATCTCCTCCCTTCTCTAAATATGGAAGGGCTGTGGCAATTCTAATCTTGCAAAGGCGGTGATAGAGGCCTGACCTCCAGTAATTGAAGGGGAGCTTGTAATGGCTCCAGTCCCCCTGTCATTGTCCAGTGAGGCATGAGGGCCACACCCATCCCAATGTGTTTTTCCTGGAGAGGGATACTTTTGACATCAACCCCTAAGCAGTCAGGCTTGTGAAAGAAAACTATTTACCACTATTGAAACTGGTTATAGAGGGGAAAGTATTTACCCATAATGAAATCAATTTTAGGAAAACAAAAAACCACTGTGGTACATGGAGGTGAGTAGGAGGATGCTGTGTCACATCCATGGGCCTGAGAGTCAAGAAGGCTGGCTAAAACTGTGTGTCCCTTCTCTGCTCTACTCTATTAGCAGTGGTATTGGTTCTTTCTTCATTCATATCCCTTTTACAGTTCAATGCTTTCTCTTGGGAAGATTTGCATGCAGCCCACTCTTGCTGAAGATAGTAACTCTTCAGTGAGCATGGATTTCCTGGAGATGGTTAGTCTGGGGATTCATAGATGGAGGGGTTCACAAGTGGAACCCAGGCAGGTTCCTGCACTCCAGATATAATAATGACCTTCACTTCAATGGTGGCTATGTATAGTGTTTGATTTATACGTGGCTACACAGTTATTTTTCAATATAATATATATAGACCATTGGAGAAATGTGGTGTTTTATTTTTACTCCAGCACAGTGCGTAGTTCACAGTTCCCTTGCAAGCCATTTTTAAAATCTGACAAATAATTTCAGGCCAACTGCTCTCTGTCACTTCTTCTTTGCGGATACAGGAAATGACCTTACTTGAATGGTCATACTGGGTTGTCCTGCTCAATTAGCTGGTGTTTGCTGGATAGCTGTCATGGCAGGTACTCAGTATCACGACCATAGATTGGTAAGCTTAATATTGGGAAAATCACCATTGTACCAAATTAATCTATAAACTAAGTGTAATATCAATAAGATGCCAAATTTATTCATCACAGAATGAAAAAGCAATTTTAAAATTCATGATGAAGCACAAAAGACACGGCTATCCAAAGCAGTCCCCATAAATAAGGACACTGTTGAAGGTAACTCAGTATCTGAGTTCAAGTTATGCCACATGAAATAAAAACATGGTACTGACACAAATCAGACTCATAGTACAAGGAAGCAGAATGGATGGCCCACTCAAATGGAAGTTCACACACTGACAGCTGTTTGAGTTTTCTACAGAGTGACCTAAAAGACACATCAGAGAAAAGCATAGCTTTTTTTATTTTTTGTTCCTCTCAACCCTTGCTTCTTGTGACAACCACACCGAGTTATGATCTGACATCCATGTATGCATCATAATATTCATTCACATACCTACAATAAATGAATAAGTAAGTAAATAAATAAATAAATAATGAATAGCGGGTTCTAAGACATTCAAAGCTCATGATGAGATCCTGTCTCAAAAATATAAACTGAAAGGAAATTAATTAAATAAAAGTTTCAGTGTTTGGCACCCTGTGAAAAAAAGGGTAATCATGGAAAATATTGACAAGAGTTTATTTTCCTTTACATTTCCTATTCAGACTAGTCTGGGAATGCTGTGCATGAAATTCCTGAGATGCTGTAATTGAGATCTCAGTCAGTAATTCCTGAGTCAGCCTCCATTTCAGACAAATACATTCCTTGCTGACACTTTCTGTCTCTGAATCTTTCAGGTATTGACAGTAAGATTTTAATAATAATAATAATAATAATAATAATAATAATAATAATTGTTGTTGTTTTTACTATTGTTATTCTTGATGTTTTGGCTCATAATGCATGACTGCTCCAGAAAGCTGTTCTTAGTAGATCAGATGGGAAGGTGAGATCGGAAATCTGGTGGAAAAGTCACTGACAAACTCAGATTCATTCTTTGACTGTGCTAACAGCTGGTTCTCTGGGAAACTGCTTTGTGTGTACACAGAGACCACTTATTAGTTACAGAGCAGTTGATCTCCAAGTGTGATCTATGATCAGTACAGTATCACCCGGCAAGCAGCAAAATACACAAGTGCAGTTTTCTTCCAGACCTGACCCTAGAATGGGACAGGTCCCAGGAGTCAGTAAGTTTCCAGTGAGTCCTCCAGGTAACTCTGGGTTCCCTTCCTCTGTGAAGGATTCACCAACAGCTATGCCCCTTCCACCTCTTCCACAGTTACCCTGGGTGTGAGCAGGTTCAGGTCCCCGGCAGAGGCATTCATCCCCATAATATTTGATTGGAATGCCTCCCCCATTGCTTCCCAGGCTCAGAGATCATCATTGGCCAACTCTAGTTCTTTTTCATTATCCAGGTCCTTGAGTTCTCCATAAAGGAAATTCACACCAGTAACTGAAAGACAGGGTGGACTTCTGACTTCCCCAACATATCCCCAGTCACCTTTCATCCTTGTCATAGTGATACTACAACAAATTATTCAACACACTTTTCTTTTGAATTGCTGACTAGCACAAAACACAATGGACAGAGAAGTATAAACTTGTTGGGAAGCAGATTGTGTCTGCAGAGGTTCACGAGTTAGTTAAATAGCTTTTTCTAAACATTCTGATCATTAATTCATCTCTTTTAGAAATATAAAATCAAAGAGCAAGACTATACAATGAAATTCATACTTTTATTTAAGAAACTAATCCTGTTGTTCCTGCCTTTCTCATGAAGACCACAACCACATAGTGGAATTCATATTTTTCTGTACTAGGATTGACTATTATTCCAAATCCTTTGCATTTTGATCAATACATTTACTGCCACTTCTCTGCGTAATTGCCACCTATGATTCTTGTCATAGTGATACTACCTGGCTGAAGGAGGTAGCCCAGGACAACACAGTTTGGAAAGGACTTACATGATTTTTCCACTCTGACACCTGAGAGGTGAGATCACCTTGTACCCTAAATTCAGCATACCTAGCTCAAGAAGGCAGAAGCCACAGATGACATTGCCAAACACAGTCCCTCCTGAGCTTATAGACCCATTGAAATGGAGGGTTCATTGGATGTGAGGCCTTTCCAGCTTCTATTCATCCTACTGAGTCTTGAGTATCTTTTAAATACAGGATCATAGCTCAAACACCAACACCCTCTACCCTGGAACTGGAACTCAGAAAGGTAGATATTGGAGAAGTGGTAGCTAATAGAACTACAGAGCAGCAATCCAATGTCCTATTGACCTTTGCTAATAGATGCCTACTGTGTCTCGTTGTACTGGAATTTTATCTTTTGAAGAAGACACATAAACTGAACAATTTGATATTCCCCCGGACATGAACTCCTTTCTATATTGCAAGAACAAGGGAGTTTATATTGAAAAAAGATGGGATTGTGAAAACACATATCTGAATATATTGAAACAATGTCTCTGCTTAAGGCATGTGCACAATAAGAAAATATAATTCAATTAACATAAAGTTAAAGGTTCAGGGGAATAATTTTTGCCTCTGGGAAACAGGATCACCTGGGGAATTGGACTGTGTCACATGAATGGAGCACAGGGGGAGAGTTATCCTGGAGAAGAATCTCCCTAAAGCAAGGATCCTAGAGCATTAGGTCCTAAAAAAGATGAGCTACCCATGCCAAGGCCCTAACCAACTCTCCCCATCCAAAATGTTTGACTTGTAATTAAGCAGAGATAAATCTCTAGCTTTGAAAGGAGAAGTTGCCAAGGGGTATCCCCTGAGTCAAAAGAGAGACTTCAAGAAAGGGCACCTCAGAAACAGGTGAAATGAAGCAATCTGGTCAGCAGGTAGGCCATGGCAGTTCCCAATGACATCATCAGTAGTCACTTCCCTGGACATTCTCTTGTTTCCAGGAGAACCCTAGAATCTTCTGTGATGTCACCAGTGTTGTGGTGACACCAACTGCCTGTGGAGTATTCCTTCAGAGCTGCTGGGTTCACAAGCAGTCATGTTGTCCATGCTGCGCAGGTTATTTCGGAGGGATGATAGACTACAACCAGAGACCAGACCTAGGCAGAAGACATTTCATCAACCAGGAAGAAGGATATGGCTCTGGAGAAGACACAGTGAGTCCTGGGCTGTGCTTGGGGGAGCTTCCTGGAAGAGGGGGGCTTGAGCAGGTCCTTACAGGAGAAGTGCTTATCATCTGGAGCCTCCACATTCCTCAATGGCAGACCCAGAATCAAGAATTTCTGATGATTAGTTTAGCAGAGATCCAGGAATTGACAAGCCTGCAGTTCCTTTGCTGAGAGATCTGAATTTCCTGATTAGTGGCAAAGGATGCCAGGAGGAAGTTCTGTGAGAATAATAAAGTCTTGCTCTCAAGATAGAGTGCTGAAGGATTTCATCCTCAATAGGTTCTTTTAGCTCACTTGAATATGTGATGCCAAGGACAGAGAGGGATATTCCCCTGTCATGTATCATATCTCAGATACTTTGGGCTTGAACACACATGATGTTCAATCACACTCTGAGGTATATGTAGTAGTGTGTGATCTCTCTCCATGCAGTTAAGAAGCATGGATAGGTCGTGGCTTGTGGGAGATGTTTGGTGCTTGTGTTTATGTTCAATCTTTTTTGTGCTAAGCAGTACAGACTACATTGTCAGATATAAGCTGACATTGCCCTCAATTTCTTCTTGACTGGGAACGTTTATGCATTCCACGGTTTCTAGGACTGCAGTAAGGACTGAGCCATATGTCTAGTGATGGGGGTGGGGAGCAGGGACATAGGTGAGGAGACCACCCTGAAGACAGCTTTCTTGCTCTTTCAGAAATTCACTGTGTCTTTAGAATTCTCTCTTCCTCATGCTTCTGTTTGGGACTAAGCATGATTTCTCCTTTCCCTGTCATATTTCACTACAAGTTTACTTGTGTTTATCTACCTAAAGGGTCTGTTGGGGAAGAATCATCCCAAGCCTACACCATGAGTAAGCAAGAGCAGAGAATGAAGAGGTTGGAGAAGCTCAAAAGGGATCTTGAGATGATGAACAAGGAGAGAGACGAACTCCGGGGAATCCTGGCACATTATGCTAACAGGGATTTGAATAACAGGTAGTCATTATGCCCAGTTTTCAGCTGACTATCTAGGGTCCTCTCTGTTGTTCCCAGATTTCTCATGTCATAGGAGGCTACAACTCCAGGCTGTCCTCATGTCCAAATTCATTTTGCTGTTAGGATTTCAGACACAGAACTTGAAGTTCACATAGGAGTGAGATGGGGCCAAAGGCTATTTTGATTCCTCCAAAATTAATTCAGAGTCCTTGCAATGAATCCAGTCTGGAAATAATAGTAGTAATGTGTGAGCTCTCATCATACATTTTAAGAAGCCTGGACTGGTGTTGCTTTGTGGGAGATGCTATCTGCTCTCTGTTTATGGGAAATCATTTTTGCAACTTCCTAGAGATGCTTTGGGTTCATTTAGTCCTGTCAATAGCTGGAAGGACCTGATTCTGCATGCTGCCTTTCAGTGTGACTGGATTTGCTGAAAGTCATCATGCTTTTCTCAATTTGTGTTCATTATACTCTGAGATAATGCCACATTACTGTATTTATTTGATAATATGATTCTCTCTCTCTCTCTCTCTCTCTCTCTCTCTCTCTCTCTCTCTCTCTCTGTGTGTGTGTGTGTGTGTGTGTGTGTGTGTGTTTCACTTAAGATCCAGGGAGTCTGTGTAGAGTGATGGGGCCTGAGGATTTACCTGACTCACTTTTCAGGTAATGAGAGTGATGAGGCCATGGAGACTCACTTGTAGCAGCACAACACATGACCTCTGTGCTCACCTCTGATAGTCATTGGAAACTCCTGATACTTATAATAAACCCTTTTCCTTGTAAATAGTGATTATGTCCTTTGGGAATTTAGGTAGCAATAGAACCAAGGATTGAGAAAACCTTATTTAGAAACAGAAAAAGAGCCATGCCAGATTAAAGTTGGACCCAGGAATGTGACACAGGCTCTTGGACAGTTTTTAAAGACCTAATCTATTTTTAAAAGCCCCGTCTGGGAGCTACAGCAGGTCAGCTCCCTTCTTTTAGTTCCATAACTCTACTGGACTCAGACTAAGATTATCAAGTTTAATAAGCACCAAGAGGACCCAGTTCAAAGCAGCCAGGATGTGGCATGTATGGGTTGGGGTAGTCCATGAGTCAAGTTGAATTTATGTAATGCTTGCAACCTTAGTTCAGAGGATTATATGCTCCTTGGGTCATGCTCTCCCACAGGACCAACTTTGAGAACATGATGCTTGAGATGCAACACGACCAGGTAATGACCGATCTCAAGAAAATTCCTCAGAAGATCAGTGAGGCCTTGTACAAGTGCAAGGAGCTGACTAAAGAAAATCAACTTTACTGGTGAGTGACTATCAGTGTCATTACCCCAGCACTAGGCACAGAATATGTCTGTCCATCATTAATTTTCAAACAAAGTAAGGGGCTTGTTCTATACTGTTTGCCTTTCAACAGGAAGCTTGCCTCCCTCAAAGAAAGGCTGTAGGATTTTTACCTCTTGGGCTCATTTTGATGAGGTGTGATGACTCTGTGAGCCCCTCCAATCATTGTCCTTCCCAACTCAGAATCCTCTAGATAGAAAATGTGTGCACCTTAATGGAGATATCAGTCAACCTTGAGTCTCTGGGCCCTGAAAACAGATTTATAGATCTGGTTTGCATGAGACACATAGAACGATTGTATATCTGTTGAGTCTGTTCTCCTCTTCCAGATAAGGTTTGCCCTCTCTCTACCTACAGGTGGTTTTCTAATACCTGGACATAGAGACAATCATGGGGCCTATGTACTCTTCTGCTGGATATATGAGACCCTGTTGGTGTCACGGTTTTCAGAAGTACTTTGAGTCTTCTGGAATGTTACTCTCTTCTCGATTTGACCTTCTTATATGTGATGTTCTATGGCTGTTCTGGTCTGTAGTCTGCGTCTTTCTGGGTACCAGGGCCCATGGTGAGAAGAGATGGTACTTGGAGAAGTGGGAGGAAGATGGATGCTGCCTGCAAATCACCATTTCTTCTTTGTGGTTCAGCATCAGGAACTGTCAGCTCCTGACAGAGTCTCTTCATATAAAGAATCAAGTAAAAATTCTGTGGAATGAGAACAGGCAGCTGCTAAGGGAGCAGATTGCACTGGAAGAGTGTACTAAGAAAACAAAGAGGCTGTGTGTGGAGGCCAGCTTGAAGATATACGACAAGTATACCCAACAGCAGCAGCAGCAGGTAGGATGCATGAAGCATCAGGGGCAGTTTGTGGACTCATGTCTAACCATAAACACAGTCAAGCCCAGATAACCATCCTCTACCTTGTCCAGACACTCTCCTATGTATTTTTAGTTCTTCATTTCTGTGATCATTTACAAGACTTTCAGTGGAGTTAGCCTCTTTCAAGAAACTGGGTGATTGTCAAGCAATCCCTCCTACTCAGCTCCAAGCTGCAGTTCATTAAGATATGTTGAAAACACATTACAATACTACATGCCTTTATGCTAGAGGGGTTCTATATGGGTGCCTCCTATGTAGTAGCACAGAACATTGAGTGATGAAGTCAGGGCCTGTAACTCACTTGCTTTGGATCCATGGTTCCAGCTGCATATGTAGGGGAGGATGGCCTTGTCAGACATAGGTGGGAGAGGAGGTCCTTGGTCCCATGAAGGCTGGATGCCCCAGTTGGGGGAATTCAAGGGCAGGGTGGTGAGTGGGGGTAAATCCTCATTGAAGGAGGAGGAGGTTGGATGGAATAGGGGATTTCTGGGTGGGAGGGTGGAGAAAGATGATAACATCTGAAATATAATAAAATATCCAATAAAAAGATTATTTAAAAAAGAGGTGGGGTGGGGGCTTGTATCTTTACTCTCTCTCTTCCCCTGCATTGCAAAATTGTCTCTTCCCACTGCCTAGACCTTGATACACACTGACAGAGCCTGAGGAGCACCTTGTCAGTCCTGGTATCTGTCAGTGTTGCTAGGGTTCTTTCCTGGAGCTTATATTCAGGAGCTTACTGGGTGAACAGGGATGTGTGAAAGGCCTCTCTCAGGCTGAGGGTTGAGTTGAGAGTTGTGAGGCTCCAAGAGAAAAATTTCCAGATCTCTCTCAACCTAGTCTGCAGAAGAAGTTACTCACTAAGTGTTTTTAGTCCCCAAGGGACAGAGAGAAGTGTCCTGGATCTCACTTGAAGCATCAGCTTTTCTACATTCAATGCTTCCTCCAGCATTGAGGTCTCCTTATTGTTTCCTGCTCACTTTTGATTTCTGGTGTGTGTGGAGGGAGGGGCATATGCATGTCTGTGCCAGTATGTATATTGATGGGTGTGCCGAGAGGCCAGTTAATTACATATGGTTTTGATAAGTCTTTCTGCAACATAGCCCAGGACTCTCACTGAGTTTGAACCTTCCTGTATTGGTTAAGCTGTCTGACCATCACCTTTGAATGTTCTGTCACCTTCCATCTAGAGCTCCTGAAATTGTTTGGTCTCAGGTAATTTTTACAAGGTTTAATTACTCATAGAGAGGAAGAACATTTTTACATATTTCATTGTTTTCGTTTTGTTGTTGCTTCTGTAAGAAAACAATTCATTATCATGGAAGAAGCCAAGCTGTATTCAGCAGTTGTCAGACACACAATTGGCCCACTGAGCCGTCTCATGAGCTTTCTTGTCATTTGGCTGAAATCGGCAGAAAAGGGAGGAGGGTATTGATGTGCCAGGATGGGTCTTACCCAAGAAACCTAGGCACCATGTAACCCACAACTGAGTTTTTCAGTCCAATAACACTTTACAAACAAACAGAACCCATGTTGCCAACACTTACATGTGAATAATTTCATATTTAGCCCAACCCACCCTTTCCAAATCTTACCATGTGACTTCAGATTCCCCTTCCCAGTCCCCCTCTCTCTCTCCTTATCTAAAGTTTCCTAAATCTGGGTTTGGAGGCACACCCATGTGAGGAACAACCAAGAATCAGACATGGTAGTCTTGGAACCAGAGCAGGATATGGGTCAGGAAGTGGTGCTCAACAACTGCTAGCTGCACTCATGAGACAAAAGGTGGTTTCCAAGGTGGTCCTATCCAAAGGACCCTTAGGGACCTGAACACCAGCCTCTCTATTCTAAGGTGTTAGTGTGGGGCTCTTAGAGGGCAAGGGGAAGGAGTCCAGGCACCCAAGAGTCATACAAAGGGTGGTTCATGACCTGTTGGGCATGTGGTGGGTGTGGTAGAGGGACTACCAAGGCCACCTAACCTGGCTTCTCATGACTGGCCATCTGCTGGTCCTCAGAATCCAGTGTCTCCAGAGACCAAGCTTCTTCCCAAAGCTACATGTCTGTGTCCTACCTCAGCCCTGGGGCAGCAGCAGCTGCAGCAGCAACTCAAACCCTGGAGTCAGGGGAACAGGCACCCAGGCCAGAAATGACCTTCCTAACCACTTCTGCTCATGCCTCTACATCTCCTTCACCTGCTAAGGCTGCCAATGCTACCCTATCACTCTAGGCAGAAGACAGCTCTATTGTATATAGAGGAGCCTCAGGATGCCACTTCCTGAATTATCTAGCACCCAGGTCCTCCATTCTTCTCTATGTTACCTCACTCTGAGAGGCTTAAGAGCAGCCCTCCCCCAGGACAGAAAGCTGGGCTCTTGTTTTATTGTTTTTTAATTTAAATCTTTAGTTATAAACAAAAACTTAAACAATATAGCTACCTTCAAAACAAAAATTAGACTTCTTTGCCTTCCTTGTACTGAGATAACACCCTGGAAATTCATACTGTGTGTTACTGGCTTTACCATGAGGATTTATGAAATCCTACAGTGCATTCCTCTGCTGAGATTGTGTCCCTGAGTATATCATGGACACGGTTTTGCTTCAGGTCTATTCCCTCTCATAGTTTTGCAGTGTACTACATTTTAGAAAAATCATTCCATGTTAATTCTCTAGCTTCCTTTTGAATGACATTAGGGATGTTTTAATATCATGGGAACTGTAATGTGTTGTAAAGTTCATGGATAATAAACATGATTAACTTTGTTTTTAATGGTGCTACCAGGGTCTTCTGAGAAGAAGTCAAGGTAGTTTTAGAGAGCAGAATATGACGTTTCAACGAGGAGCTTACTGGTGGATGTTCTTGCAACTCTTTTTCTTAGGATCTTGAGTGTTGTGTGTACCAGCATATGTGTGCAGAGCTTGTGACCTACTTGTAGGATCAGCAACTATCTGCTTGGAAACAGTTCATGACACGGAAAGAAGTACAGGCCTGGGCAGGAGAGCCTGGGTTTGTCTAAGAGCCTACTACACAGCTTAGGTCCCACTACTTCCTCAATCTTTTGATTGTGGTGTGTGTGTTTGTGTGTGTGTGTTCTGTGTGTGTGTGTTAATGCATGCACTGGATTTTTTATATATATATGTGTTTATATGTATGTATGTTTGTATGTATGTATGCATGTATGTATGTATTCATATATTTACTTGGTCAGCAAACATCTTACACAATAATAGAGGCCAGCTTCAATAAGAAAGTCCTCTGTCAATTCACGTTGCATCAAGGAAACCTTAAACACAGCAGCCTGTCATCGTGCTGCTCTACCTAGCTCAATAGAACAAAAGGAGACAGATAATGCTGTAAAGACAGATTGTCAGCCATTGGTAGAGAAAAACTATTTATCACTATTGAAACTGGATATAGAGAGAAAACTGTTAACCCATAATGAAATCATTTTTAGTAAAACAAAACACTGTTGTACATGGAGGTGAGTAGAAGGCTGCTGTGTCATTTCCATGTGCCTGAGAGTCAACAAGGCTGGCTAAGGGTCTGTGTCCCT